TGTCATCAGATGTGAACCCTGACCCAGTGACACGGGAGCACTCCTTGCCCTTCCAGGTAAGGCTCTGATCATCACCGCGACCGCTGTCACCACCACCACAATCACCACCATCACACTAACCAACAGCACCATCACCACTAATATTATCACTATCCTCGTCGCTACCACTACGATCACTATCATCATTATTTTATCATCCTCGTCGACATTATATTCATCATAAGCACTATTTTGTCACTATTATCATTCAGATCATCATCGACAATTAATTATGTACCATAAGTATTTCCTTTCAAATAATTTACTGTTTTTAAGTTTCACTGCATTCAGATTTAATTCTGTTATGATACAGACAGTCGGCTCTGTGGCTAAGTCGATGCGAACGATTCGTAATGCCGGGATGCCGGGTTCGATCCCAGCTGCGGGCCATAGGTCTTGTGTTGGTTTCGACAGTGGTATCAAGAAAGCCGACCGTCCAGAAGCAATGGCAAACTACTGGATGTAAATTAGAAACCCCACATAACAGCCAGGGGCTGTTGTCGTTGGTTCTGCAACGTCCTGTAAAGGATACGCAATTAACCTAATGATACAGACAGTCACCATAGAGAGCGGTGTTGTAACAAACGGTAACAGAACCAGAGGTCTACCAGGCTGAAGATGGACCGCAAAAATATCAGAGACACTGAAAAGTACTTTATACGAAGCGCATAGAAAGGCCCTTTCCAGAGATCTTTTCCTGCCCTGACACCACGAGGCATTGCAGGAGTAGAGGAAAGATAAAGATAATATATGTGACGAGACACATGAAAATATGCCAGCTACATCAACCGCGAGGTTTTGTTTGTGTCCGTATTATTTTAATTTACATAGGCAAAAAAATTTATTTGAATTTCAGTTTTAGTTGAATTATGGGATGAGGTGACCAACCTTTTCTAGCTATCCCAGGGAACAAGTATAGTGGACTAATTGTGACTTCTCATCCATTCATTTATTGTCATGTTGTGTTATTATCATATGCCACATACGGTTCGCAGTCTTGTTTTTTATTAATTCCTTCCAATGATTTGGATATCTAAGATGTAATCCAATCTAGTACCTTTGGATTCTTTCATCAACGTTTGCTTCCGGATTTCTCTAGACTTCCTAGTTTTCACAATTCCTGTGTATTGGAATCCTGCATTGCCTGCTGAAGATGGGGAAGGAGTCCTTATGGGAATGCCCCGAGTGTCGTGATGTCGGTTCTGGAATCAACTCAACTCAGCTCAACCCAATCACTTTGTTTCTCTTCTTCAGTGATTCCTTTGTTATTCTCTATTTTACTTCCTATTGGGCTGTGTTAAAGCACGCAGACCTGCTCACATTGGAGTAGAGTTTACTTCATAACCATTGTGAAGTGCCCTAGTATTACTGTGCTATATGACTGGGCTGAACCTAGTTTCGTGGATTTGTACCTGTTTGATTCTCATCCCTGAGATGTTAACCATACAGACGGCAACATGGACATAAAGTAAGATGAAATAATAATCTTTAAGAATACATTATGTTTCTTTCATGCCGACAGGTATTCGACTACAAGACCAACTTCCACTACGAGTACGACAACCTGGAGTTCAATGGACTGACAATCCCTCAGCTGGAAAGACTACTGGAGCAGAACAAGGGAGAGGATCGAGTTTTTGTTGGCTTTAGACTGCACGGAATTCACCATTCCGCTCTTACCAAGTTCTCCATTTGCAAGTAAGAAGGGTCTTTCTCTTCCCCTATTCCCTTCTCTCCCCCATCCCCTTCTCTCCCCATCCCCTTCTCTCTCCCATCCCCTTCTCTCTCCCATCCCCTTCTCTCTCCCATCCCCTTCTCTCTCCCATCCCCTTCTCTCCCACATCCCCTCTTTCCCTATTCCCTTCTCTCTCACATCCCCTCTTTCCCTATTCCCTTCTCTCCCCCATCCCCTCTTTCCATATTCCCTTCTCTCCCCATCCCCTCTTTCCCTATTCCCTTCTCTCTCCCATCCCCTTCTCTCCCCCATCCCCTTCTCTCCCCATCCCCTTCTCTCTCCCATCCCCTTCTCTCCCCCATCCCCTTCTCTCTCCCATCCCCTCTTTCCCTATTCCCTTCTCTCTCCCATCCCCTTCTCTCCCCCATTCCCTTCTCTTCCCCATCCCCTTCTCTCCCCCATCCCCTCCTTCTCCCTATCCCCAGGTAAAAAATTAATCCATTCAACACAAAATATGTACGGATAAGAAGCTCGGCAAGATGAAAAAAGCAAAGACAGACACAAATGTTTCTACAGAAATCGTTAATCAAAACAAGACAAGAATTCTTCTTCTTTCATCCACTTGAAATAGACTCTCTATACCTCTAAAATGTTGTAACGAGTGAACAGTGCGGATGCGCAGATAGATCATTACAGTTTGAGGAGAATGGCGCTGCGTGGAGATACCAGTGGGTTGTGGTCGACGTTGAGCACTCAGGTGAAGGATGAGACGGAAATACAATCAGAAAGCTACTGGTGCAATTGGAATTGGAACTCTTAGCTTGCTGCTAAAGATGAGGATGGAACACTTATGGGAGTGTCCATAGTGTGTGATGTCGATTCTAATTTAACATTCAACATTGGCCAAAAGTTTTGTCTTGATCTGTTGTATTTGGGACAGTTTTAGAGGACATGATCTGTTGTCTCAGGTGCCAAACTACATGTATACATGGCTGTTTCACCCATCTTAAATTTTGTGTACATGTGGCTGCGAAGTCGACTGTGTCTGTTCTAAGGGGTAGAGTAATGACTTGCTTGCGTCTGTCTATTATATGAAGAAGAATGCAAAGCCTCAAGCCATAAAGGAAGAGTCACATAGAGACACAGGTACCGGAAGCTGGAGACAACCTCCACCTCACACACGCACACAAAAGTGGTTGGGGTTTTAATTCCAATTCCAATTCCAATTTGTCCAAGAAAAATTCCAAATTTGATCCTCTTTCAGCCGCCCGGAGGCCTGCTATATCGAAGAAGGGTCCTTAGCTGTCTTATATGGTTTCCTTTTATTTGTGGTGTGTAGTCACACCTGATATTAGGGTTGTTTGCTTCCTTGCTGTTCTGCGGTGTTTGCGGTTTTGGGTTCTGGTGTGATCCAGATCTCTTTGCGATGATATCGACGGGTACTAGCTGACTGTTGCTGGTGCTTGGCTTGCCTCGTGCTGGTCGCTGTGCTGGTGCCCTGTTGCTGCTTGGTTGCCGATCTGTAAGCCGCCGGAAAAAGCCAAACAAACACCAGGTCATAACGCCTCTATACAATGTTTCTGTTCAGGACAACCAGGGCTGTCACAATCTGTTGTGATCAGCCGTTTTTTTTTTTTTTTTCACGGAGTGTGGAGAAGTAGTGGAGGTAAGATAGACTGCAAATGAGAGATCAAATTTGCTCGAATGTGCCAGGAGATGTGATAGTTAGGTCGGGAGAATGAGAGTGACAGATAGATTGAGAGATGTGGCTTCTCGTCGCTGGAACTTCTCGTGGGTTGAGATCCAGTGGCCTGAAATAAAACTGGAGGCATTGTTAATGTTCATGTGATGGGGGGGGGGGGGGCCTTAAGAGATTCTGGAGTTACCGAGTGCTGGTCCCCTTTGGTGCAATGTCTTCAGCGGTCTGCTTCAGAACGTCGGGTGGCCTTTGGTGGTTTCCGTTGTCAACTTCTGCCTGAAAGAATGTTAGTTAAAGAAGGGGGGTTTTAATCTAAAATAGTCCATGAATTTTGTAAAGAGAACAATTTACACTCGTCCATTAAGCAAAGTGAAGGACCCTTTTCGACGCCGTTAGGTGTACTGGGCATTTACGGCCAGATCTTAATTTTATAGACCAATCGACATTTAGTGGGTAAGGTGGTTAGCAGCACAACGGCACCTTTACTTCCCATGGCGTTACCCATTTAGGGCTAAGTCCACCTGGGAGCCGAGGTCATTTTTGAGAAAAGTCCCAATCCATGACTGTCTGATCCGCAGGCGAGAGTGTAGCCTCTACGCCACGGTTTTATTTTTTTAACTAAATGATAAATTATTTTTTAAGCACATTAGTTATGTGAGACCTTCTTAATAAAAGCTTTTTTAATTTGCATTTTTGGTTTTAATTTCCATTTACTTTCCAAAAATCCTGGTTAGTAATTACTTTTTCTCTTCCACTATTTACCTCAGCAAGGTGTTGGGGGGAGATGTAAGGATCGTTTGTGCTCTTTTTCGAATGCATTGTACAAGTTGGTGTTTATTTCTGTTAGGTTGCTGCTAATGATGTCGCCCCATCTCTTGTGTGGTCTTCCCTTTGCTCTGTGATCATTATATTTCTTCTGTTGGGTGAACAGTCGTTAACGAAGGCAGGCAGGTCGTTGTAGGGGAGACGCCTGCTGGTGGATGTAATGTCCTAAGTCCCTTCCCCAGCTAATAATGAGGGTACTGCTGGGGTGACCGTTTATTAACCCTCACATAATGCTTCAGGTCAAAATGGACGCTAGGCTATGAAGCTGAAACTAAGATTACCAGATTACCAAATTACTAGATATTTCTTCAGCGTAGCTTTCTATGGCAGTTGGTACTAGGGAATTCTCGCCAGGTGGCCAAACCAACTCATTTGTTGTTGTTTAATGAATTGTATGACTGGTTTCAGTCCTAGTCATTTTATTATTTCTTCATTCCTGATTTTATGTCTTCTTGTCACAGCAACAGCTCTCCTAAGACATATCATCTCTGTTGTAACGATCTCCCGCTCATTAGTTCTAGTAATGGTCCATGTCTGGCACTGGTAGCTCAATGTGGACAAGCCAAACAACCGCTCTTGTGACATTTGCTTTGGTTGAGAGAGGTATCTTTCTTCAGTAAAGACTAAAGAAGCTTGTTAGCAGCGCGATGTTTTCATGATGTATCACAGACTGGTGATGAAGCATTTACTTTTTCATTTAGGACTCCTGATGACTGTGATCACCCAGCAGGAGAATTCTACCTTCTAGGAGATGAGCATGAGATGGAGTGGACTTATGACCGCCTGTACAAATACGAGATCACCCAACAGCTGGCAGATCTGCATCTTCGCTATGATGACCGCTACACCATCAAGTACACAGTTGTTGGACTTGATGGGGCTGACCTTGGTCATCCATTCCCTGAGCCAACTGTGATCCATGAAGTTGGAACCAGTAAGTAGTTTTATATACAAGGATAATAAAAAGTTTTGCGTTAGATGATTCGCTCCTTCTTGTTTCCTTCTTCATCTTAAAATCTATGCAGTGTGTCGTTGGTAGCCATTTATCCACAGCCTTCTGTCTCGTGTATTTACAGTTAACTGTGACATAGATTTTCCTACATGTCAAGATGTCAGACTGTTCAGCATCGTTTCCCTCTGCCTCCCTCTGCCTTTATTCCCCTTAATTTTCCTACTGTCACAATGTACTTCAGTTTTCTCATTCTCATCACATGACAAAGGATTGTAGAAGATTGTCTCTTTCTGATGTGGGCAATCAGTTCTCTTTGTTAAATTTCTTTTTTTAAAGATATTTTCATTACTCCGTTTATGTATTCAGATTTTTCTCCTCATTCGTCTATAAAGCCACTATGTCTATAAAAACTGCTTCTTGTGGCTAACTGTTTAAGTCAGCAGACTTGTTCGCAATCACTAAAGAAGTCTCTGGAGATGTAAGCTGTTTAAGAATTCTGGTGGATTCACTGAGGACTTTGATTGTCCCCGCCCCCCCCCCCCCGCCCCTCTCCTAAAAAAAGTGAATAATTTCCTTTCATCTGTAGTGTTACTAGTTACCAACGTAAAGGCCGAGTTTTTTTTTTTTTTACCTTAACATATTTGCAAAACTAGTAGTCAACTTATGTGGCGGGTATGGTGATCTGGTAATCTTAGTTTCAGCTTCATAGCAAACGGGTCACCCCATAGATGCTCCGCTCCTGTGCCAACGAAAAACACACAGAATGTTATAAGTCTGGTATGGAATGCGTTAGTTAGGTATAGACCTAACCCAGAATTTTGAGCTAGAAATTTTGAGGTCGACTTGTACGCCTGAATTTTCTGTAATAATCGGTAATTGTCTTTGCTCCACAGGTCACATTTATGGCCAGGAATATCGACCTCCCGTTACTGCGGCTTCGCATGTCCGACACAATCTAGAAGATTTGAGCCCGGGAGAAGTGGAGAGTCTTCGGGCGGCTTTCTTGGCAATCCAGGCAGATCACTCCTACGAACAAATAGCTTCCTACCATGGGAAACCTGGCTTGTGTGAATATGAGGGTCGTAAAGTGGCTTGCTGTGTCCACGGAAGTCCATCGTTCACATCCTGGCACAGACTGTACGTCGAACAGGTGAGGGACTTTGGTTTAGCATAATCATCATCATTACCTTATGCTCCTTTTCTCCTCTCATTTGCTTCAACGAATCATGGAGGAGGGAATGTGCAGAAAAATTCTTTTTTTCTACTATTCCTATGTCGACATCTGTGGCTTTGGTGTTCCGAACAGGATTTGTAATGCCGGGTAGCCGGGCTCGATCCAAGTTGCGGACGGTTTGTCTTGCGTTGGTTTTGAAAGTGGCACTTAGAGCTGAAGGGCATACTACTGAACGTAAAAGGTACCAAGAAAAGCCACATCATAAAAATAAAATATAAAAAAACAAACATGCTATGGTTGGTTCTGCAAAGTCCTGTAAAGGATACGAAAATATATTTTTTATTCTTTTAACTATTTCTAATTCATTGTACAAGTTGATACTTTTTTAAGGCTGCTCTTAATGGCGTCGTTTCGCGTGGTCTTCGCCGTGCTTTGTGTTCAAGATACTTTTTTTATCGTGGCTTTCTGTAACAGTTGGTACCAGGGAGCTTTTGTAGGATGGCTATGATATCTCACCTGTTGCTCTTTAATGAATTATTTGACTGATTTGAGTGCCAGACTTTTTCTTTTATTTCATTTATAACTTTACCTTGTCTTGTTACTACTTCAGCTGTTCTAAGACATCTCATTGCTGTTTTCATAATTTCCCGTTCATTAAAATGTTGAAAGTTAAAGTCGAGAGAATTGATTTCATTGCATTAATTTTCATCTCACATGGTTCGGTTTGTCTCCACCGAACAGCTAAACGCCTGCATCGCATACAACACGAACAGCATAGCTTCGGCGACGATCCCTAGGGTCCTCCTAAAAACTGCGCTTGTAAACTAAATGATGGCGCTGTGAAACGAACCCACGACCTTTAGAGCGCGACGCACACGGCTTGATCGCTACACCACGGAATCTACGGTTCATTAATTGTGTATAGTAGGAGTCAATGTTTGACACTGTGGGTATAGAGTTTGCCAAAAAATATGTTTTTTTTTTTTTTATATTTTGAAATTGCTGTGCTAAGTTTTAGCACCTTTACACGGAGCTACCACAAGAAAATCTTGATGTTTAATAGAAATTATCAGTTTCAAAGCAAAGAAACGTCTCATAACAGAAGAATCTTTAGCTCCCCCCCCACCCCCACCCCCATTTATATTGATAGTTTAAGCATTTTGTCACATGTTTCATATCATTTTTAGTATGTGGTATATTTATTTATCATATATCACATAGTAGCAGCAGCAGCAGCAGTAGTAGTAGTAGTAGTAGTAGTAGTAGTAGTAGTACTAGTAGTAGTAGTAGTAGTAGTAGTAGTAGTAGTAGTAGTAGTAGTAGTAGTAGTAGTAGTAGTAGTAGTAGTAATAGTGGTAGTGGTGGTGGTAGTGGTGATGGTAGTAGTAGTAGTAGTAGTAGTAGTAGTAGTAGTAGTAGTAGTAGTAGTAGTAGTAGTAGTAGTAGTAGTAGTGGTGGTGGTGGTAGTGGTGGTGGTGTTGGTGGTGGTGGTAGTAGTAGTAGTAGTAGTAGTAGTAGTAGTAGTAGTAGTGGTAGTAGTAGTAGTAGTAGTTGTAGTAGTAGTAGTAGTAGTAGTAGTAGTAGTAGTAGTAGTAGTAGTAGTAGTAGTAGTAGTAGTAGTAGTAGTAGTAGTAGTAGTAGTAATAGTGGTAGTGGTGGTGGTAGTGGTGATGGTAGTAGTCGTCGTAGTAGTAGTAGTAGTAGTAGTAGTAGTAGTAGTAGTAGTAGTAGTAGTAGTAGTAGTAGTAGTAGTAGTAGTAGTAGTAGTGGTGGTGGTGGTAGTGGTGGTGGTGTTGGTGGTGGTGGTAGTAGAAGTAGTAGTAGTAGTAGTAGTAGTAGTAGTAGTAGTAGTGGTAGTAGTAGTAGTAGTAGTAGTAGTAGTAGTAGTGGTGGTAGTGGTGGTGGTGGTGGTGGTGGTGGTAGTGGTGGTGGGGGTGGTGGTGGTGGTGGTGGTGGTAGTAGTAGTAGTAGTAACAGTCATATTACTTTACTAGAAAACATTTACCAAAATTATTATACTACTTTCGTTTCTGTTACTGTTTCGTTACAAGGCTTTAGATCCTTGACCCCCCACCCCCCTTTCAACATCCCAACTCTAGAAAATCATAAATGTTGCTATCAGCGCCCCTTTTCTTCAATGTTTTTTTTTCCAATCGGGGCGTCTGGTCTGTATTACCTGCGAAATTGTCTTTCTAATTGTGATTTTCACATTAACTTCTAATTGTGATTTTCACATTGACTTCTAATTGTGATTTTCACATTAACTTCTAATTGTGATTTTCACATTAACTTCTAATTGTGGTTTTCACATTGTTTTCACATTAACTTCTAATTGTGATTTTCACATTAACTTCTAATTGTGATTTTCACATTGACTTCACTTCTAATTGTGATTTTCACACTGACAATGGCATATGATGTCTTATGTAGGTGGAACACGCCCTGCTGGAGCATGGGTCCGCTGTTGCTGTCCCTTACTGGGACTGGTCCATTCCCATCAGGAAACTGCCGGCTCTGATCAGCGAGGCCACTTACTATAACTCCAGGCAGCAGAGGTTCGATCCCAACCCCTTCTTCAGTGGCGGGATCGCTGGGGAGAATGCTGTTACGACGAGGTAAGATTTATGAAGAATTTTGCTGTGGTTTCAGTTTATTTTTCTCCTTCAGTCTCAAAGATTCTGCGGTAGACAGCCAAAGTGGCATAAAACTACTTCAAAATAATAATAAGTACTGTTATTTCAGCGGAGGGGACCAATGTAGAAGCCAGATTTTAGTAGTGGGCTGTGATAAAATACATCAGGTAAGAGAACACAACAGGTAGTATTGAGATTTCAAGATAAAATTAGAACAGCATGTATCTCTTGTTACTGAAAGAGTTTAGTAAAGTTTTCAAGATTTCATGAAAGAGTTACCGCTGGTCGATGGTTAGTTTCACAATCAGGATGTACCAGGGTTTGAAAGTTAAAGTCTGGATTATCGACCTCACTGCCCCTTGTTAGACTAAATTACTAGGTCTCTCTCCTCAACAAAGCATATCACAAAGCACGAACCCGGTAGTTCCAGCGACGATCCCGGGTATTTCTGTTCAAAATATCCATATAAACAATGATAGGTCCATTAAATGATCCCACGGACTTGGGAGTTTTAGGCAAATTCTTAAGGTATGCTAATTTTACATTTTGACGCGGTTGAAAGGGGTATCTGAAATGTGCTATGTCACAAAGGAAGCGACTAGGAAGTTCCATGAAACAGGCTGGAGAAGGATGAGGGACAAGCAGCCATTTGTAGAAGTTGATACTCAGGCATTCTCGTCAGGTGGCGGAACCATTTGAAAGAAAAAGAGCATTCTAATAAATCTTCTTATTATTCTTCTTATACTTCACGTTCACCGGCTGTAAACTCTGGCCGAAATCTCTGGTTTTTCATTCACGTTTGGAATTTAGTCTTTTTTAACTTTTAATCTTACTTATTTGTATGCACATTACTAATGGCTTGCCTCTCAGGCAGATGCACTCCGACTTCGAAGGAAGCTCTCAGTGAGTCGACATTTACGTCATGCTTGTTGGCGTGACAGTGGGTCTATTCTTATTTCTTTACAGTTAGACTCGTAAACTCAGACAAGGAACTGTGATAACTGGAGACTAACTTTCCTACCTCTTTTTCAAGAACGCAAAAGAGATACGGAAAAAAATTTCACTTAAATCAAAGGGTCACACATTGGATAATTTTATATTCGGTCCTTCCAAACACGCATCTTTCAAACACCAATTGTATTTTACCTGTAAAGTACGTTAGGCTCACATAATTGTATATATAATATGAACATCGAGTGAAATGCACAAACATACACACAAATAAATTATCAATATACCATTGACATATTGGCCTACTGTGGAAATATTATGTGAAGAAATACAGAGCAAATTAAAGTCAAAGTGAATAAATGCTAAGTTCCTTTCCATTGCTACCCAAGTAACATCTGTTATGTGTCAATAAATGTTATTGTTACAGGAATCCGCGGGCAGAACTATATAACAACGAGTACTTCTATGAACAACTGCTGTTCGCCTTTGAACAAACCCACTTCTGTGACTTCGAGATTCAACTGGAGATTGTGCACAACGCCATCCATTCCTGGCTCGGTGGACAAGCTAGATACTCCATGTCATCTTTGGATTATGCTGCCTTTGATCCAGTCTTCTTTTTGCATCATTCCAACACTGACAGGTAAATAATAATTATTTTTCATCTCTTGATGTTTGGGAAATTACTGTATGCAAAGGTAAGGTCGGGAGATGTGAACCAGCGTCATTGCACACGGTTATAAACCATAAGTACTCTGCCACCAGTACGGACAGCTGATAAGAATTGTCCGCCTGTGTCGCCGTTCGCACGTAACTCTGTAGCTACAACGACGTTCCTCCATTTACCCCAGAGTATCACTCTGGTACCCATTTCCTAGAGGCTGGGTGAACCCCGGGAGCCGCCCGGTTTCAAACACCGACCGTGGGCTGCAGCGAGTCGCAGCTGGATTTGAAAGCGAGCTTCTTATCGACTGCGCTAACGCGGTTCCCCCCCCCCCGTATGTGATACTAGAAGCGAATTGTGGGTATGTGTACGATGATGATGATGTGTAAGTTATATCTCACTAATCAATTAACGTTTGTGTGACAAAGAATATCAAACGAAACAATAAGTTAAACCAGTCAGCTTCACATAATCACAAACAAAAGCAAGAGGACACTGTGGCCAGAGAGCTTAAATCAGCCCATTATACGAATATACAATACCACAAACTTAAACAAGAATACACCAAGTCACTTACATGAAGCCACTCCGACAGGAGTCACATATCTGTCTAGCTAGTTTAATCTCTGATACGTGTGTAACGCCAGAAATAAATGCTGGCCAGAAACAAATGGGAATGACAAGGACTGTAACTCTGAAGTATTGGATAAAACTGTGTTGGATGTTAAGTCCCCTAGACGAATTGAAGCCCATTAGACAATGTGGTTCTCTATAGATCTGCGTGCTCTGTCAGTGGAGGCTAGACTTGATATCCTTAAACTTTAAATCGAAGATGCCTTTTTATGTGCTGGTACTGTTTATTTGGTTGTTTTTGTTTTCATTATATGCGACCGATTCTGGTGTACAAAATAAAAGCATGAAATGCCTTTTCTCTGTTGGCTGAATAGTTCGATGTGCAGTTTTGATAATATGCATTCGAACTTATCTTTTCTTTACTAAAGTAGGAATAAAGTTATGGATGAATACAAATGCAGAATTAGTGAAATGACTGTGAAACATTCTCTACAAAAGTGTTTAACGTGTAAATACGTTACCATTGTCCCGTAGCGACATTACATGCCACATATGGTATCAAGGCTATGTTTGCATTAAGTTCTGTTTTGTGCGGCGTGATACTGACCACATCACCCATCTTGTGCCGATTGGTCTATACAAATGAAAGTCTAGCCCTATATGCCCTATACGCCTAAAGGCATGGAAAAGGGTCCTTTACTTTACTTTACTTTTTGTGCAATCACTTCGATATCCTGAATGGAATCCAGTCCATCACCTTTGACCTCTCTCAGTGCTTTTTTTGTTAGGATTTTATTTTTAAAGTCCTCAAGTCCCAAAGCTCTTTATCTCCCCTTATAGCGCTTTGTGTGTGGTTCTCAGCTGGTTTCTTCTTAGGATGTGTCAAGTATTTGTCTTACAAGTGTTGATACTACTTAATGTCGACACGGAAATTTTAATTATTCCTTTACCACTCTTGAATTCTTTATGTGAATAAGAGATAACGCTATTATGATTAACTGCATCTTTTGAAGACAGACTATGCCGAAATCGACAAGCTCAGACTGCCTGCGTCTCATAATAAGTATATTTATTTTTATATCTGAGGTCAATATACTAACAGGCATCCATGTAGATGCATAGTTCCGCCTCGAGTACTAGGGGTGCCGGGTTCAATCCCCGGTAACGGCTGGGATTTTTTTTCACCTGGACTTGGACTTCTAGTAACTTACCCCTGGTAGTGAGAGCAGACGGCCGTGTGCATTTTTTGCTCACGTAAAAAGCTCCTTTGGCAATTAGAAATCACCGGGAAGGCTAACCCGGTCAAAAAATGCCCGCAGAAGCCGGATGTGTTGGCCGAAAGTTGCAAATATCGCAGCCATGCTTTAAACGGACACAACGCAAATACATCTTCGGATGAACGCAGAAAAAGAAGAAGAAGAAGTTAGAAATCGAAAAAAGAAGCCTAAAAACACTGCCCGGACAAAATTTGAATGTAAAAATCTACCCACAGTATTTCAAGATACTCGCCGGCGCTACAGAGCTTGTGCGCTGTGCTGAGCCTCTTCGGACTCAGACTTGAGTTAGAAGAAGAACAGAGCCCTTTTAGGCTACAGCTGTGAGCCATGATGTTGATCCGTTGTTTAAACATCAAACACATAACATCACATGGAAGAATGTTGACTATTTAGGTTTTTTTACCCTTATAAATTTAGAATCTTAAAGGAAAAAGGAAATTATTAATTTACTGATTCCTCATCAGACTGTGGGCAATCTGGCAAGAGTTACAGCGCTACAGAGGTCTGACCTACAATGAGGCCGACTGTGCCATCAACCAGATGAGAAAGCCATTGAAGCCTTTCGGCGACAGCGACAACAAAGACAAAGTGACCCAGAAGTACAGGTAGGTAAACACAGTCAGGACTAAACATTATGTCTCTTATATAAGAGATGATTCATAATACTAATTATTCTTACTATCACTATTATTATTATTGCAATCATTTTAGAAATGATATGACTCTTTTTTTTAGCCCTGTGTATTTTCAGCATACGTCAGAGTGACAGTAAAATCGCAGAAAATGATATCTTTCCTGACATTTTATGCTTATCGTAGTAACTCAGTTTTTATAGATAGCCTTTACATTTCTTAAACTCCACAAAAGAGAGCTACCTGCGATGAATGCATATCATACTTACATCATACATCCAAACGATTTTCTTTTAAAGTGACTGTAACATTTCTTTTTAAACACATTGTCGAATTTCTGTTAAAATGATTGTCGAAGATCCTTTATTGTCGAATTTACGTTAAAATGATTGTCGAAGGCCCTTAAAACCAATTATTGAATTGTCATCAAAATCGGTTGTGCTTGTCTTTACCACGCTTTTGGTGTACCACCTCCTAGAAGGCTGGCAGACATAAAAACAAGTATCGCTTGGGCAAAAGTAGCCTTTAGCAAGTTGCTAACAAATCTGACCAATAAAAGATGTCAAATGCATTGAGAAAAAGACTTGAAGTGCTATGGAGAACCTGAGTTACAAGATGCATGTGAAACATGGCCAGTAAGCAAACAAACTGAAAAACATTTACTTGCGGCAGAGATGTGGTTTCTGACAAGAATGCAAACAACATCATGGAAGGATAGAAAAACAATTGAAGCAGTCTTCATCGACACAGAAGAAAGTCGTCAACTTATTAGAATATTTAGACGTGGACAGTCATGTTTTTTTTTTTTTTTAACATGTAAAAAGACAAAATGGACTCAAGAATTTGGTAACAACTGGTAAGATTGACGGAAAGAGAGCAAGGAAAAGACAAAGAGATAAATACCTGGATGGCCTGGCAAGATGGAGGGGGTGAGAAAAAAAAAAAAACACTGAACTGATCCGTCCGTGATTCTGGTGATCGTGTGAGATTGCGGAACACGGCAGCCTACACTTACTGGCACGGCACATGATGATGATGATAATGGTGATGATGATGATAATGATGATGATGTAGGAGAGAGAGAGAGTCTTGAGTCTGAGGATTTAGGGTCGCATGGTTACCTCATAGGAGCCCAGCGTGCTAACAGTCGACCAGTAGTAACTCACTTCGTACAGCTTATAGAATTTCCTTTAAATTGACTAAGTATTTCGTTCAAGCGTTAGAACAATAAGACTGTTCATTAATGCTATATTCAACTTTCAGTCGACCTGCGGACACCTTTGACTATCGCAACCACTTTGGGTACGAGTACGACAATCTGGAGTTCAACCATCAGTCTATCCCTCAGTTGGAGAATTTGCTGAAAAAACGCCAGAAGCAAGGGCGTATCTTTGCTGGCTTCTCGATCCACAACATTGGGCTGTCTGCTGATGTGGAGGTTTCCATTTGCGTTCCGAGTGGACCAAATGGCTTTGGTAGCTGTAACCACAAGGTGTGTACTGTCAATATTTAGGCTATGTAGCATCTTCTTTGTCTTCTTCCTGTTTACCGATTGTAAACTAGGGCAGCCTGTTCTGGTTGTTCGTCTATTACTGAATTTTGGTTCTCTTCCAGAATTTGAGTTTTGCATACACATCAGTTTTACAGACCAAGCTTTTTTGAACACAGGTAGTGGTTCCTTGCCTCAAGTACTCGGAATACTGAAGAAGAAGAAGAAGAATATTCACGAAAAAAAAGAGTGTATTTTGATCATAGAATATAGAAGCAGACAGTAAATATGTTTTTAGTTATAGAAGAGAAATATCCTGGTCTATTTAGTGATAACTGGCAATGTAAACTAGAAAAAAACCATAAGACCGATACATAGATGTCGTAGAAACAAAAAATAAACTGGGAACAAACACACACAAACCTGACTTAGGAGAGATAATTTGAGCAGACATATTATGATGAGCATATGTATAGAAAAGATGCATGACCATAACCATTTGAACACTATTATTTTTCGACCAGTTTATTAATTATTGACTGGCTTATATTGTACCTGTGTATGTTTATGAATTTTGTCTGCGGGTGTGTCTATGAGGCTGTATGTGTGTATCTCTGTGTGTGGGTGTCTGTATGTCTGTCTGCGTGAGTGTATGTGTCACCATGTGTCTATCTGTCTGTGTATGTCTATATGTGTTTCTCTGTGTGTATTGTGTGTGCCCCTTTGTTGTCTGTATGTGTCTGCATGTCAGAGTATATGTCTGTGCGTGCTGAATATATGTGTCTGCTTGTGTATTTCTATGTGTTTGCATGTGTATGCACTTCTACGTGTAATGTATGCATGCATGTATGTGTGTGTAAGTGAGTGGGTGAGCGTGTGTATGTGGGTGTATGTATGCACGCGCGGGTTTTTGCATGCACTTTACAACTCATGCTTTTGTGTTCTTTTATAATATTCATAATATGCATAACATGCTTTATTAGTAAAATACAACTGCTGTGCGAAAGATGGTTGACTGGAAGGGCCGAATGTAAGACGGGCCTGCGTGCCCAATTTGTTACCCTTTGAAAATAAAGTTCGTTCGTTCGTTCGTTCGTTCGCTCGTAATAATCTATATCGTTAAAAAAAAAATTCTTATATATATTTAAAAGATGTGAACATCAAACAATATTGGCTAATAAACATCATATTATCTTGAAAGCTAGAATATTGTGGTCATAACCATAGCAGAAGGCTTTGCACCAGGAAGGAGGAGCGGGTGCCGACCAACACGAAGATGGGCAAAGGATATAAGGGACTCCTTTATATGAAAGTGCACGAGGCAGGAAAGTTGGATAGAGACCAGGATCATTTCAGGCAGATCGTGATAAAAGCGACGTTTTGCAAAGGACCTGCTACATGATGATGATAATCACCATCACCATAATACCGATATATCTGCATAAGCACAAACAGCCACTGAGTATCTTAGGATAGTTTTACTGTATTTAATTCTTATTTTGTAATTTCCTGTCTATGTACATTTTTCTTTCGTGTCATGCACCAGGGGGCTGCGTAGTCTCTAGGCATAGTGTCAGCCTCGAGTGCTGAAGGTTCCGGGTTCAATCCCCGTTAGGGGTGGAGATCTTTTCACGTGAACTCGGACTTCTAGTAATTCCCCCTGGTCTCTGTATAGTGAGATCGGACGCCTTATACATTGTTTCCGCAGGTTAAAAAAATCCCTTGGAAGTTTAAAATCGAAAAGAGTAGCCTAACGGCGCTGCACTGGCAAAATTTGGAGCTAAAAATCTACCTAAAGTATTTCAGGCTCATCACGGTGCTACAGAGCCTGTGCACTGTGCTGAGCTTCTTCGGACTCAGACTTGAGTTAGAAGAAGAAAGGAATTTTATGGTTCAAACCTCAAACCTCCGACCACCAACCTTGTGTAATGCTGTGTCACATGCCCTTTACAGGCCGGTGTATTCTCCATTCTTGGAGGAGAGACCGAGATGCCTTTCGAGTTTGACCGTGCCTACAGACTGGAAATCACCAAAGAGGTCCTCAAGGCTGGCCTTCAGGTGAGCAGTGACGTCAACTTTAAGCTGAAGGTAGAAATCCGGGCTGTCAATGGAAGTTACCTGGATCCACACACTCTGCCTGACCCAAGCATTATCTATGTTCCCGGGACAGGTAAGTTGACGTTAAGTGTGCATACTTTTTGTTGCACATTACGTGTACATATTTTATTTGTTGTAGAATTGTGTGCACATGTTTAATTTGTTGAATATTATGGATATATTTTTCATTTGTTGTACACTACAGTTGTACTCCTGTTTAATTTGTTTTACATTATGTGTACGTTCTTTTTTTTTTTTTTACATTATGTTTACATGTTTCCTTGTTGTATACAATTTGTACCCTCGTTTTGTTGTTGTTGTACAATTGTGTACATGTTGTTTAGTTTGTTTTACATTATCTGTATATTTTTTCTTTATTGTGTGCAGGTATCATCTGTTGCACGGTACGTGTACATGTTTACTGCCCCCCCCCCCACCCCCACCATTTTCCCCACCATAGCTGGAAAGCTACCACCAATACACATGATATTGTCAACATCTGGTCATTTTTTTTCTCTGGAGCTGCCGAGGAGCTACTAGCAAGGGTCCTAAGAGCTCCTTGTGGCACTAATTGGCAACCTCTGCTCTACATATATGCCACTTTATCTTACTTGTGTTTGCTACTTCTTTTGACAGATGAAGCTGCACAAGATCGAGAACGGAAACCCAATGTTCTCGTCAGGAAGAACCTGGAATCTCTGAGTCCTCTAGAAAAATACCACCTGGTAAAAGCTTTAGTTGCTCTGAATGCCGACAGTTCTGCAGACGGTTACCAGTCTATCGCCACATTCCACGCCATTCCACCTCTTTGTCCAAGTCCAACAGCCTCGGTCAGGTGAGTCTGTCTGATGTGTTACTTTTCCAATTGTAATAGAAGATTTGTAGAACTTACTCCCATCTAGGCCCACATTACAGCAGCTTGGTCCAGTCATAAGTATGAGCGACAAGAAACAGATTATAAACAGCACATTCATACCAACACTGCGCTACCAGTCTCAGACTTGGACATTATCAAAGGCTAACCTTCGTAAAATTACCACCTGTAAAATGAAATGATGAGAAAAGCCGCCAATTTAAAAAAAATTATTTAAAAACAAATTTAGACATGTTCTAATCAGAAAGACTGTAGGAACAACACCATGCAGCACATTCATTGAGACGCAGACGATTAAATGGTTTGGTCATATTGTGAGAATGCAGCGAGGACAACTACTAAAGCAGAAAAGATCTGAAGTGACAACGAGAAAGCCGCCATAGGATAGCATGGATTGACGACATTAAATAGCTTCTTTAGCGACATGGATTGACAGTAACCACTGCCGCCCATCAGGAAATGATAGCAAACTGTTCCTTCCCAAAAGGCTTAACAACATAAGTAGATATTGATGATCATGATTTGCACAATATTGGACTTACTATGATTCGATTTCCGAGACGGATGTTTTGTTGAAGTCAAAGTAGACGACATGCATTGATTGCTATTGTCATGAGAAGGAGAGAACTGGAGTATATTGTTACTTCAAAGACAGTGGAGGGGACAAGAAGAACGAACGAACGAACGAACAAACGAACAAACTTTATTTTCAAAGGGTTACAAATTGGGCACGCAGGCCCGTCTGAAATTCGGCCCTTCAAAGCACTCATTTTTCAGAGTACCAATGCCTGCTATCTAAAATGCATGTTATGGATATAACAGTTCAGTTTGAACATGTGGATGTGGATTGAGATCGAGAGAACGAGTGAGAATGTCCACAGTGCAATCATAGCCATTCATTCATTCATTCATTCATTCATTCATTCATTCATTCATTCATTCATTCATTCATTCATTCATTCATTCATTCATTCATTCATTCATTCATTCATTCATTCATTTATTTATTCATGTACGTATGCGTTTTTTCGTTCATTCACGACTTTGTAGACAACCGTCTGTCGCTAGGGAACATAGAATTATGCCTCTGGTTTTGTACACATCTGCTATGTCTGTAAAGTCTAATTCAGGATTGGCAGCTCTACCAGATAGTCTAATTAACAGTGTCTTAGTCTGTCATTCTAAAGCTGGTTTTCTCTCACACATCTCCTCTCTATAGCTTACTGCTCTTGACCTCTTTCAAACAGCGACAGTCCGTCTTTCTCTGCCTCTAAACAAGTCAGTCTGCAGCCGATCTCTACCATGTGTCATTGTTGATATCTTTTAGCGCGTATTTTAATATGTCCTTATAACGTTACTTTGGCCTTCCTTCAGGTCTTATTGAAGACTAACATATGTCATTCTACCTCCTTCTTTAGATATGCCTGCTGTATACACGGAGGGGCAGCCTTCCTACAATGGCACCGCCTCTACACTGTCCAGTTTGAGGACGCCCTCAGACGCCATGGCTCTCACGTGGGACTGCCCTACTGGGACTGGACCAGGATTAATGACCGGCTGCCACAGCTGTTGACTGTTGACTCCTACACAAACCCGACCACTAAAGTTAACTTTCAGAATCCGTTTACTCATGGCAGAGTTGAGTTTGAACATGTGGATGTGGATCGAGATATCCAGGTATGTTATTCATTCAACAATACTGTATTTACTGCCTTGATTTACTTTTCTTCCTTGAATCCCAAGGCAACTAAAAAGGAAGTGACGAATAGGAAGAATTAACTTAATTATGATAAAGGACGGTCGGAGTCGAGAGCATGAGGATTGAAGGCCTTATGGCTAGTGCCTTCGCTAGGACCTATAAAATACTTTAAGGACCCTTTTCACACCATCAGGCCTTCTGAGCCTTTAGTGCTACGCCTATTAATTTTGGACCAGTCAGCATTCGATGATGATATAGTCAACATCATACAGGTGGCCCTTTCTTCCCAGATGCATTTCGACTTCAAAGGAAACTTATATCATATAAGATTCCTAACCCTTTGTGTTAACAATTATTATGAATTGTCACAAATGATTATTATTGTTTATAAATGAACACATAGCTCCAGAACAGTCCAGCGATGGCATTTAGTTGTTGTCGACGTTGTTTGCAGCTCTGAAATGGATAGCAGAAAACAGAGTAACAAGAGTAATTTTAGTGACTGATTCTTAGTCAGAACTAAGGAAGGCTGAAAACTGAGAGCCCTGATAGCATGAGGGAGTACCGAGCGTCAGTACGTCAACTGTACAGGGATTTATGTGGATATACTGTCCGGGAAATGCAGGAGTGCGAGGAAAGAAAAGGGTGGAATATCTGGCTATAAAAGGGACAGAAGTACTCGTGCTAGACGAAAGAGACATTCTAAAGACCATTTATAAACGAATGCTGGTGTGCAAGACTACGGAAACAAGGAATTAGTTATGGATCTGGCAAAGAGGGGAGAGGAGAGAACGACGAGATTATAATCAGTGTGCTACGGGAACAGTCATCATCTACACCCTAAGACATCTGCGGCGAGAGACAGGCCATGTGATAACTTGTCTGACAGACCAGTGCCAGCATGTGGTTCTGATTGGGGACCACAAACAGTTGAGGCCCAATCCTTCTGTCTATAAACTAAAGACTGAGTGTGGTCTTGACATTTCACTTTTTGAAAGACTTGTGGATAATGAATTTCCTTACAATTCTTTGCAATATCATGAGTAATCTCGGTGTGCTGAGATGTCGATTCTTAAATCGATAATCAGTAAATTAATCGATGCTGTTTATTATCGCATTTAAAAATAAAGGAAGTAATATATGAAAGAAGAGAGGCTGGTTCAGAATGTGAAACGGGCCTACGTGCCCAATTCGTTACCTTTTGAAAATTAAATCCATTCTTTCGTTCCCCACCCAACTGTTAGGTCAACACACACTTTCTTTACAGTGTTTTATATCCTTCTTTTCATGAGAACCAACTTTTTCAGTATAAGTACGTTCTTTTGCGTGATATATATATATATATATATATATATATATATATATATATATATATATATATATATATATATATATATATATAAAGAGAAAGAGAGAGAGAGAGAGAGAGAGAGAGAGAGAGAGAGAGAGAGAGAGAGTTGAAGTATCAGTTACAAGGGACTCAATACGTTAAAATGTTACGTGATATTGTTCGTCTGCTTTGATCTATATTTTAATAGCTTCTCCACAGTTCACTAATTTCAGCTCTCTCATGTGTCCCACCCTTCCAGAACTCAAACTGTCTATTTGAGCCTGTCCAACTAGTCTGTTCTGTATTTGTTAATATCATAGTTTTAATTATTTCATTTCGTTTTCTTTTTCGCACTTGTGGTTTCATAAATTTATGTATTGTGCTGATGAAGGCTCTTAAGCCGCAACGTTCACTTGTAGTTTGTATTTTTACTTTTGGGAAGCTGGCTTCTACAGTTCCGTTGGTTTGACAATTTTACGTGATATTTCTTCAGACTGACTTGCTGTTCAAAGTAGGACCCCACGGCTGGGACACCTGGCTCTACAACCAGGCTCTATTTGCCCTGGAGCAGGAAGACTACTGTGACTTCGCCGTACAACTGGAAATAACACACAACGCCATCCATTCCTGGATTGGTGGGACCAAAGAACACTCTATGGCGCATCTACATTATGCTTCTTACGACCCAATTTTCTTCATCCATCACTCCAACACTGACAGACTGTGGGCTGTATGGCAGGCTCTTCAAAAACACAGAGGGCACAATCCAAATGAGGTCAACTGTGCGTTGGAAAAACTCAGGGTAATAATCTCTTGAAAGAAAACTTGTACCAACTATTGTGTGTACTCTCTATAGCCGTTGGAAACAGAACGAACATTCCTTATTCTCATTGAGTCTTTAATAGCAAATTTCTTTAAAAATGGAAAGGTCCTTTTTTACTGTTGCACATCAAACGAAAAGCTGTGGCCACTTTTCTTTGACAAAAAACATCCATAACGGAGTAAATAAATATCTAAAAACATCTAAATTTGGTCGAAAACATAAAGAAAAAACATCCAAATGGACAGAGTCACAAATTACATAGCAATTGATATGACTTACCCTGTAGAATCATGTCCTCATCTCTACTGAAGTCTGCCTCACAAGATCCACAGGATGATGAAGTTGAAGTTTCAGATCCAAAATGACCTCTGGTATGCTTTAGCTGTTCCAATTTCTTTTCATACCCAATCAGGGAGCTGATAAGTGGAACAGCCTTTTCCTACTCTTATCAGGCCGAATTTTATTGTCAAGAGAGCATTTTTTAAAAGGTCAAATTTTATCTTGTTTCTTAGGTTAGATTTGGTAAATGCACTCTAAAAAAAAAACATCTAGAAAACATATACCATCTAAACGTCAAAAACGTCATCTAAATGCAAGAAAAAACATCTAAATCCGGATGTAAAATATCCAAAGTGGCAACACTGCACGCTGGCTGCTTTTAATTCCCCAGACATTACCAGATACACATTTTAGGCTAGGTTGACCTGGAAGACAAGGTCCATTGTGAAAATAAATTTCATACTCTAGGGTCGATTTGAACCAGAGACCTTCCAGCCACATGCAAGCGTTTAGTCGTCCCCTAAGATCGTAGTCAATATGATAGTCTTACCTCAGTATCAAGTAGAAACCTGATGTTTCCAAACAAGACAGCACAAGGTTTACCCGTCTAGTAAAACATGCTCATCTGTGTTTATTGTTAGAAAATTAGACACATTTAAGAGGGGTTTTTCTCTCTCTTGTTATAAAATTAGACAAATTTAAGAAGGTTTTTCTCTCTGTTGTTAGAAAATTAGACAAATTTAAGAATGTTTTTCTCTGAGTTCTTAGAAAATTGGACAAATTTAAGAAGGTTTTTCTATCTGTTGTTAGAAAATTAGACAAATTTAAGAATGTTTTTATCTCTGTTTTTAGAAAATTAGACAAATTTAAGATTGTTTTTCTCTCTGTTGTTAGAAAATTAAAAAATTTAAGAAGGTTTTTCTCTCTGTTGTTAAAAAAGTAGACAAATTTAAGAAGGTTTTTCTATCTGTTGTTAGAAAATTAGACAAATTTAAGAATGTTTTTCTCTCTGTTGTTAGAAAATTAGACAAATTTAAGAATGTTTTTCTCTCTGTTAGTTAGAAAATTAGACAAATTTAGGAATAGTTTTCTCTCCATTTGTTGTTAAATAATAGGCTAAATGTAAGATTGTTTTTCTCTCCGTTTGTTGTTAGATAATTAGACAAATGTAAGATTGTTTTTCTCTCCGTTTGTTGTTAGATAATTAGACAAATGTAAGATTGTTTTTCTCTCCGTTTGTTGTTAGATAATTAGACAAATGTAAGATTGCTTTTCTCTCCGTTTGTTGTTAGATAATTAGACAAATGTAAGATTGTTTTTCTCTCCGTTTGTTGTTAGATAATTAGACAAATGTAAGATTGTTTTTCTTTCCGTTTGTTGTTAGATAATTAGACAAATGTAAGATTGTTTTTCTTTCCGTTTGTTGTTAGATAATTAGACAAATGTAAGATTGTTTTTCTCTCTGTTTGTTGTTAGAAAGTTGGGGTAATATTTTCGTTTTCATTTTGCTGTGTATCTGCTGATAAATAAAGTCTTCTCCACTGTTATCATTGCTGTATTAGACATCTGTTGATACAGTCTTTTCCACTGTTATCATTGCTGTTATGGACATCTGTTGGTACAGTCTTGTCTACTGTTATCATTGCTGTATACAGTCTTTTCCACTGTTATCATTGCTGTTATGGACATCTGTTGGTACAGTCTTGTCTACTGTTATCATTGCTGTATTGGACATCTGTTGATACAGTCTTGTCCACTGTTATCATTGCTGTATTGGACATCTGTTGGTACAGTCTTGTCCACTGTTATCATTGCTGTATTGGACATCTGTTGATACAGTCTTGTCCATTGTTATCATTGCTGTATTGGACATCTGTTGATACAGTCTTGTCCACTGTTATCATTGCTGTATTGGACATCTATTGATACAGTCTTGTCCACTGTTATCATTGCTGTATTGGACATCTGTTGGTACTGTCTTGTCCATTGTAATCATTGCTGTATTGGACATCTGTTGATACAGTCTTGTCCACTGTTATTATTGCTGTATGGGACATCTGTTGATACTGTCTTGTCCACTGTTATTATTGCTGTATTAGACATCTGTTGATACAGTCTTTTCCACTGTTATCATTGCTGTTATGGACATCTGTTGGTACAGTCTTGTCCACTGTTATCATTGCTGTATTGGACATCTGTTGATACAGTCTTGTCCACTGTTATCATTGCTGTGTTGGACATCTGTTGGTACAGTCTTGTCCACTGTTATCATTGCTGTATTGGACATCTGTTGATACAGTCTTGTCCACTGTTATCATTGCTGTATTGGACATCTGTTGGTACTGTCTTGTCCATTGTAATCATTGCTGTATTGGACATCTGTTGATACAGTCTTGTCCACTGTTATTATTGCTGTATGGGACATCTGTTGATACTGTCTTGTCCACTGTTATTATTGCTGTATTAGACATCTGTTGATACAGTCTTGTCCACTGTTATTATTGCTGTATGGGACATCTGTTGATACTGTCGTGTCCACTGAAAGAACCCAGAATGTAACTTTCCACCCACAGGAACCTCTGAAGCCTTTCAGCTTTGGGCCTCCTTATAACCTGAACCCTGTGACACAAGCCAACTCTCGCCCACAAGACACCCTTGACTACCAGAACCACTTCCATTACCGTTATGATACACTGGAGTTTGTTGGAATGAACATTCCCACTCTGGATTCCTACATCAAAGAGAAGCAGGAGCATGACAGAGTCTTTGCAGGTAAAATTTTCTTACATATGCCTTGACTCAAGAGTTGGCTGTATGGGTATTGTTACCAAATAGGCACTGACATTTGAAAAGGAATAATTGAAGAAACGAGGAGGTCCAAGAAAACAAAAGAGGGACGTTGTGGAGAGAAGCTAAAGATTCTACACTGGTCTTTATCCTCATATCGTGTTGATTGCACAGGATAGATCGAAAATAAGAAAAAGACTTCGAGCCCTATGTGACATGTTACAGTGCAACAGAACAATCGATGAATAAATATGGGCACTGATAGAATGCTTTTCTAAGCTACCAGTGATATAGGTAGCTTTCGCTTGTGAGTGTCAAGTGCATTTGATATATGTTATGTAATGTAGTTTGATATACGATGTCTAAATCACATATGATATATACTGTCTAAGATATAGGCGATTTAGGTTGTTTAATTATTATATGTGATATTAGGTTGTTTAAGGCACACGTGAATATGAGTAGATATGTGATCGTTCGTCCCTCATTATATTTGCCTCTCAGGATAATCTCTTAAACCTAAGTTCTAAAGCTTGATCAGCCTCCGAAATCTTGTTTGAAAACCTGTTTGATAATTAATACTTCATCATCCTCATAAATATCTCTGCCTGCTTAATGATACTTCATCAGTCTCAGAAATATCTCAGCCTGCTTAATGATACTTCATCAGTCTCAGAAATATCTCTGACTGCTTAATGATACTTCATCAGTCTCAGAAATATCTCTGACTGCTTAATGATACTTCATCAGTCTCAGAAATATCTCTGCCTGCTTAATGATACTTCATCAGTCTCAGAAATATCTCTGACTGCTTAATGATACTTCATCAGTCTCAGAAATATCTGTGACTGCTTAATGATACTTCATCAGTCTCAGAAATATCTCTGTCGGCCTAATGATACTTCATCAGTCTCAGAAATATCGCTGACTGCTTAATGATACTTCATCAGTCTCAGAAATATCTCTGATGCCTGTATTTTTATATTTCATCAGCCTCGGAAATATCTTTGATAACTCTTTTATGATACTTCATTAACCTCAGAAACATCTCTGATACCTGTTTTATTATACTTCATTAACCTCAGAAATATCTCTGATGCCTGTTTTATGATACTTCATTAATCTCAGAAATATCTCTGATGCCTGTTTTATGATACTTCATTAATCTCAGAAATATCTCTGATACCTGTATTATGATACTTCATCAGCCTCAGAAATATCTCTGATACCTGTTGAAGGATACTTCATCATCTTCTGTAAATTAAAATCCTGCCAGAAAAGATGCGTGAGACGCCAATCATTAAGTTCAGAGGCTAGGCATGCACATAACTGCTATTATCGCAGTGTACACCGTCCACTGCCAAAGAAAATGTAATTTACTATTTATTTTTACTTTATACTATTTATTACAAATACACCGCTCTTTTCACATCTTGATCATAGCGAAAAGAACGCTAGGTAAATGCATAAGTCATTCAGGCAGACATAGTAACATGTGAAAGTTGACTGACTTACTGACATTTTACCCCACCAGGACATCACACAAGCGATAAACACCCGATGACACAATGCGAAACCATGTTGTTAAGGTTCACCGTGGAGAGGTCCCAGAAACCGCGTTCAGCCTTTAGGCCATGTTTATGGCCAGGCTATATTGCGGCCCCTAGCATGAGCCAGAGTAGGGCTTCAAATAACCAAAAATT